TAGCTGCTGGAATCAGAACATTAATTTAGGTCGCTTCACATGAAAATTACCAGTCAGCTTGTTTTCTTTATCACACATTCGTGTGCATCTGGGTAATGGAACAATTTTGCTTCAGAATACATTAAAAATTGGTCATAGAGGGCACAGCAAAATTCCCACTTACATCAGACAGCAATGAGGCTCTTTGCTGACAAATTCTACCAGACAGTAAGAACTCCTCTGACATCAGAACATGACATGCCAACTCAGCTTGGAAGAACAGGGAGATGTAATGAAGCAATATGGCATTATGCAATTAAGCACACACTAAATTGTTCAAAGCAGCTGTGCTTCCTCCCCCATCTTCAAGTACTACAAATTTGCCAATTGAGTATTACAGATAGTATTTGGAAATCCCTTTTTTCCTCCACTGCCACCTGCCAGAGAGCGAGGACACCAAGAGTCAGATAAGGAAAACATCTTAGTACCTGGACCCAAAGAGTGAATGAAGGAGAAAGCTGGTGGCTGGTAAGTAACTGTCATTTTTCTGCAACAAACACTGGGTTTCAGGCTGTGGCCCCTAGACCCAGGGGGAACTCAGGCTGCCTGGAAGGTATCAGTGAAGTCAAACCTGTTTTCAGGAGGTTGCTACTCACTATGTAGGGATCCACGTGAGCAATACAGAAGACATACGACTCTATTGATCAAAAAAGGCTGAAAAATCCCTATGTAACAACATACCCATAACAACTGAAGTATCACTGGAAGAGCAATGAGTAGCCTTGGAACTTCATTCAGATCACATGTCCCAAAAACATACCTTGTTGCCTACACCTTCCTTAAAAGCAATCAAGCTCTGACGAACAAAAAAACTCAACTGTTACATTTTTAAGGTTAATGACACATATACTTCACATTATGTTTCAGAATTTACCTGGGTAAAGCATTAAAATTTGAAAGTAACAACATATTACTGCAAAGCGAATACATTCTAGCAGTATTTTTTTAATTTGGACAGGATTCTCCACAGTCCCAGATATTCTCCCAAATTCTCCTGCAGAGCTGGAAAGCCTCAACTGATTCTTATCAAAGTGTTCAATCTAGAGTTTCAGGGATAATTTCAGCATTTTAGGTAGAGGAGGCTGATGCATCATGAAAGGCACTGGAAATTGTGACTGAAAAGAAATGGAAGCCCAGAGCCATAAAAGGATGCAAGTGCTTAAATACTACTTTGCTGCTACTGTAAGCATTTAACCTAAATCCTCAAAACTCTCCTTATACTCAGGGGCATCCAAACCTCCCTGTGGGAATTGCCTAAGTGCTGAGAAAGGTGCCAAAATCATTCCACGAATTATTTGACCAGAGAGAAGAGGCAGATGATGCTAAAGCTTTAGGAAGAGGGAGATCTTTGTTCTAACCCCCAGGCCACCAACCATTTTTAGCCAAAAAAAAAGATTCAGCAGAAGGAACTGAGCTTGCTTCTCATTCCCACAGACAGTCACCAGGCATATTGTCTGGCAAGATGGGAAGTTTTTGAGAAGTGACAGACTGGAATCAAGTCTGCTCACTGTGGGCTGGCTGGGGCAGAATGCTTTATTGGCAGGAATACTGAGTAAAGGAAAGCCTTTTCCTAGCTGGCAGCAGTCACTGAGGAAGAGACAGCTTAGGTACTTGTGCAAGCGGTGGAGAGCTGTGAACCCCCAGCAGTGAGACTCACCCAGCAGGCACACCCAACCTGGGAACAGCAGCTGAAGACATTTAATTCAACACTTACTGACTGGGTCCATTATTAATGCACTGGTTTTGCACATCTTGACCTTAAGTCGACAAGCTCCCAAAGCTGCTTATTCCTTAGATAGATCTCCTATTGGCAACTGCCTTCCTCCTTGTTTACCTACTTGGTCTCTCCACGTCAAGGCTTTTAAGATTTCCTTGACAGAAAACAATACACATTCCCTGTACAGCACACATTTAATAATAAATGGTGCACTTAAGAATCTTTTTTTCCATGTTCAGCTTGCTGGAAAACACAAGAGGAAATGTTTGAAAGCTGGACTGAAATATTGAGAAAAACAAAACAAAAATCCTCTTGGACTAGGTAGCAACAGCAGAAAGCAGTCATAATTTTGTCTGCCTATAAGACTACAGAAGACCATCCTTTCAGAAGCTTTGCACTAGCATTACTCCAAAAAGGTCTCGTCCACATTTTCCTTAAATACCTCTTTACAAAAGTAAATTCAATTAGAACATTTCAGGCAAAAGTTAAAATTTGTTCAGATGGGAAATAATGTCATGATGATTAACATCTTTGTTGGCAACACAGACAGTGGGATTGAGGGCAGGTTTGCTGATGACACCAAGCTGTGTGACACCATCAACGTGCTGCAGCGAAGAGATGCCATCCAGAGGAAACCTGACAGCTTGAGAGGTGCAAGCCTGTGCAAACTGCATGAAGTTCAAGAAGTTCAAATGCAAGGTCCTGGGTCAAGGCAATCCCAAACACACATAAAGGTTGGGTAGATAATGGATTGAGAACAGCCCTGAGAAAGATTTAGGGGTGTTTTCTTGATGAAAAGCTCAACATAAGCTGGCAATGTGTGCTTGCAGCCCAGAACCATATCCTGAGCTTCATCAAAAGAAACGTGGCCAGCAGATCAAGGGTCGCAATTCTCCCCCTCTACTCTGCTCTCGCGAGACCCCACCTGAAGTACTGTGTCCAGTTCTGAGGCCCCAACACAAGAAAGACATGGATCTGTTGGAGCAAGTCCAGAGGAGGACCACAAAGATGATCAGAGGGCTGGAGCACCTCTCCTATGAAAACAGGCTGAGAGAGTTGGGGCTGTTCAGCCTGGAGAAGGCTCTGGGGAGACATTATAGCAGCCTTCCAGTACCCAAAGGGTCTACATGAAAGCTGGAGAGGAACTTTTTACAAGGGCTTGTAGCAAGAGAACAAATGGTAATGGCTTAAAACTGAAAGAGGTGAGACTTAGATTAGACATTAGGAGGAAATTTTTTACTGTTAAGACACTGGAACAGGTTGCTCAGGGAAGCTGGAGATGCCTCATTCCTAGAAGTGTTCAAGGCCAGGTTGGATGGGGCTTTGAGCAACCTGGTCTAGCGGGAGATGTCCCTGTACATCTAGCAAACCCAGAGCAACCCAGAGACATCAGACTCATGGTGCAATGCTGTAAGCAAAATTTGCGTTTATGTTGTTACAAATATCTATGACTCTCAGGCCTGGACAAACAACTCTGACAGAGCTGTCAGATAGCCAGGAATCCCATGCAAACCTTGAAAAACAAAAATAAAATATTTTGAAAGGGGACATAGCTCACAAAATTCAAATTACAGGGTTTTTTTTGTAGAGGAGAAGTAATGTATGATGAGAGTTGTCAGCCAAGAGAACCATGAGAACATGTTGAACCATATGAAGAATGTGGACAGAAGACACACAAATTAACGCTCTGACAATACATTGCAGCAACATTCCCTTCTAAACAAAATAATTTCCATTTTTAGCCACTACATTTTCCACTATAAACCTATCATTTTAGAGGAAAACTGGCAATTTTCACAAAGGCTGTTACACACAAATAAAGTTTCCCTTTCAGGAGAAACTTTCTAATCAATTAAAACTTGCATATTAAGTGCACCACACAAAATAATCCCCAAAGGCCTTGAGATAAAATAAAATACTGTGGTGTGTTTCAAACAATTCTACTGGTTGGGGACTGGCCCTTCAGACACTGCCACCTTCCAGCCTGTGTAGCAGCCATTTGTTCTGGGTCATGATTCCAAACTGAACTAAACAGGTAAGTGCCAACATAATCAGCCCTACCAATTGATCTCATGTAATTGGAATAGAAACAAATCAAACAACCTTTTTTATTTTCAGTAATCTGTGTACAAAATTCAAATGTAAGCAAATGTGTACAAAATTCAAATAGTTCTTGTATAAAATTTCTGAATGACATAATATTAACACTTGAAGCCACACAAGAACCCAAATGCCTGCTATCCACCCTTGTCCTCTACTTCACGTTAACTTGTTTGTCTCGCTTGGAAAGATACAAGAATCTGAGTGAACATTTTTCACTGCAGCAATCGTAACAGTCAGTCTCCCAGAAACAAGCAACTAGGAGGAGAGGTAATAAAAATCTCAGAGTCAAGAAAATAAAAAACCCAAAACATTCTCCTGAGTTTGCTTTAAGAGAAATCAACTACTCCTGAATACCTGAGTTTGAAGTGAGGCTGGGGAAGGCCACTGTTTTAAGGTGGCAAAGGTTGCTTTTCCAGAGAAGTTGAAATTAACAATAAATACAGGTCTTGCCTATGAAAGGAAAAATGTTCACATCAGTACCTCTAACAAGCTGCAGTACTCTACCCACTGAACTCTAATAGTCATCCTAGTCAAAATACTGTGGACAATGAACAAACCCCAAAGGCTAATGTCCTTTTCTCAAACTGCTGTCTGTTCCATATTAGTTTCATTAAGAAATAGTAAGATTTTTTTTTGTAAAAGGTTAAAAGCAGCAAGAAGAAAAAGTAATTTTTTGTTACAGCACTGTGATTTACTGACAATTGATAGAAGAGAGCTGGTTAAAATCAAGCAACTGAGGTGTTCAGTGAATGATGGTGTTGCCCCTCTATACTGTCCCAGGTCACACGGCACGAATGCAGCAGAATACCTTGAAAAGTAACACACATGCTGCATACAAAATTAATTGTCTCTGTTGCAAAAGGTGCCACTGTAAAAAACAAACAAACAAACTCCACATGGCTGTTGTGACATAGTAATTTAAGACATAACTCTCAGATATAAAGGATCTACATTTTCAACAATGGTTTAAATATTAAAATTTAAAATTGGGATGGCAAGTACTAAAAGTTGGGCCATATTAGTGGTAAGTGAAAGAATGCTGCATGATTGTGACTACAATCACAATTTTTAAAATGTACACCACAAACTATAAAAAATAAATCATTTTACAGAATAGTTTCTATACAACAGGTGGGAGAGATTATGTCTTGCCCCAGAAATCTTTCCTCTTCTGAGCTCGTTCCAGTATCTGAGATGCCAGGGAGCTCGATGCTGCTGAGCGAGCAGAAATCTGAGACAACCTGTCATCTGTGGGGAAAGCAACAAGGGAAAAGCTAAATAGGAAGGTTAAACACATTTTAAAACACAGTTGACATTCATGGCAGACTATGAAAGCGCAAACAGTTTTATGCCCTCTTTCACAGAGGGCACATAATACCACAATGCACTTTAATTCTGTGTACTTGGTAACTGACATGCTGGAAAAGAATTTCACTAGAAAGCTACTGGGATGCTGGTAAGCTTAAGAGAGCTCCATGCCCAACTCAATAAACCACAGAATGAGATCCTGACTGTCACCTGGGAATTGCCCAATCTTCCAAGCCATCTTTACACTTACTCTCCTGTGTAGAAGACCTCAGCAATAGTCCCTCTGCCACTGAACTCTACATAGATTAGGCTGTCATAATGGCACGTTCTTGAGATCAACCCACCACTACAAACAAAGAAGGCAGCCATAGGGTAATAGATTACTAAATTAGCAGAACGTGCTGCCAGAAGAACCCTTCTATGCCAAAAGCAGCTAGTGTGCCACAACCTGTTAGAAGAAATGTGTCTTCTGAAGAAAACAGAAAGCTTATGTTAAAGACAAGAAGAAGCATGCTTGAAAAAAGTACTTTTGAAAGGTCTTCTTTTTGAATACAGGGTCTGCTTCACACTCAGAACTCTTAGAATTAAGCAGCTTGGATGCTGCTTCTCTGCTAAATCACAACTTTATATTTCTTCAACATTATTTAAATGTTGCTACAGCTCTGTCAAGATGCCCCTATGAAAAATGCCCTTAATTACACCCATTGTCCTGTGATGGATTAGAAAGAACTGTATTACTACTTTCCAGTCCACTCCCTCCCCCAGCAAAACAGCAAAAAACTCCACAACTAAATCCTAACAGGACCTGTACTTTTTCAGTGCTTCAATTAACTTTTCAGCAGCATTTCTAAATTCTTGAAATACAGTGATCAAAACAGCCTGTAGCGGGCTTACACCCTATGCCTAACAACTGTATTTCCATGTATGAGAAAACTACCAGCTCCACTTCTGCAAACAGATGCGTAATTGGAGTAAGCCCCAGGTTTGTATGTACATTAACTAATATGGGCATGTGAAATATCTGTGAGCTGGCACATTGCACCTGTTTTTATCATTCAGCTTGTAGGGGAAAAAAAAGCAAAAGAAACAGCAGTCACAGCATTTAATCTGTGTGCAGCAAGCTTGTGGGAAGCTGCAGAGCACTGTAGGATTTTGCATGTTTTATGTAGATATGCAGATGCTTGGCTGAGCCATCTGCACAACCCACACATTTTCTAGCCAACTGTAATGAGTAAAACAGAGAGTCAGCCTGAACCTTGGTTAAAACCAAGGAGCAAACAAGCCTAAGGGGTACAGAAAAAAGCTTTTGGTTGCTCTGGGGTATATTTATAAATAAACTGCAATCAATCAGATATAAACTTGCTCTGTGACCCAAACACAGGTAATTGTGACTAGTGCAGCACCACACCAAGCTCAACCTCACACACCATGCTAAGAAACAAGGTATAGCAGCTCAGGCTAAGGAGGCTACAGTGCCTTTGGTTGACTTACATCACTGAAATAAATTATTTTTGTCTGCCCACAAAAGGGCCAAGATGATGCACTGGCTGCTCCCCCAGATTAACTTTATAGTAAACAGAAAGAAGACCAAAACATCAATCAGAATAACAGCATGTCATAAGTACCCCTAATACACTGAGCAGAGATACATGTATGAAAATTAAAGTCAGAGGAATAATTTTATGCTGCATATATGGTGCTTTTCACAAGCAAAATCTTTATCTTAAGATTTTTAGTTGCATCTGAAGTTTCTGCAGCTGCAATCTGGGCTGTGATAGTTTTGCAGTTTGCTTCTGTTGCTATCAACAAAAAGGCTTAAAAAAAATGCGTGGGGAAGAAACTATTTTAGGTGTGGAACTGAGCAAGCTATAGTAACCATATTGAGCCACAATGGTCTGTTTGATTCTCAACCACATTTAATGGCTTATTCATACTAGAATATACCTTTTATATATAGAATATACCTTTTAATATACATAGACTACTAGGATGAACATTTTCAAATTATCTTCATGAAACAACACAGTAGTTATTCATGCAAGCACATAAACCAGTATTAGTGCAAAAGTTAATCTAGGTAATATACACATAATATACAATAATACTTTGGGACACAAAATACCTTCATCATTATAGTTTCTTTCCTGAAGGGGTAACTGGAAAGTTCTCCTTTTCGGATTGCCAATATTCCCTAAGACAAAAAGTCAAAGGCAGGTTTGAATAACCTCAAAAAAGGACAGTATTTCAGTTTAGAACACTTAAAGATGCTACAACATTACTTCCCAAACATGAGTCTTATAAATAGCAAACGTGCCAAAAAACTGCGCCAGATTCTTTTACTCTAGGTTGAGGTAAAATAAGGCTACTCCACCTATTTTGGGCAGATGCTACAACATACTTTGTGAACTGCACTCAAGATGCAGAGCTAGAACACAGCACCGATTCTAACCTCTTTATGAGGAAATCTCTGGACTTCACTATCACACTTAATCTGGCAATTACTTTTTACATTTTAGAATGGAAATACTACTTTAGTTTAGCTAATCTGTATAATAAAATGACCAAGAATTGTGGGACCTTAAGCAGCTACAGAAAGTCTTTCTGGGATGAATACTTTAGCACATAAACTTTATTTTGACTAAGGGGCAGAAGGATTCTTTTCTTTATGAAATTTATGCCCCCAGCACCCTTAAACATTGTTAAGATTCCTTCCTCCTCAGCAAGAAATGGCTTTTCTCAATGTTTAATAAATCTTTTCTAGAAGGATTTTTTTCTCCCATATCCTGCAGAAATATTTAAGGAGCTTATGTCTCAGAAACCCCTAACTCCTGCAAAATAATACCACACTATAAAAGTTCCCAGTTACACACCACTGTTGGTAATTCCATCTGGAAAAGTGCCACAGCATCTGGTTGTCGCCTAATAATGAGCAAATACTTACTGAAATTAATAAGACAACATCAGACAACAGGTCACTGAAACACAATTATGTCAGTGGAATCTGAAACCAAGGTGGTGTTGTGCGTGTTTCCTCAGCAAGAGTTTAAAAGCTTTTGCTTACAAACACATTTTGTGTAAGGCAGCAAGCTCTGCATGCTCTTGGCCTGAACACTGCACAGAAGCCATTTCCACCCTGCTGCACTCCAACACAGCCACTTAATGCAAAAAACCCACCATTATGCTGGAATTCTGGATCCTTGAGAGTCCCTTGAATACGACGAGAGGGACTCCAGGAAGGCATAGAGTAGCTTTGGACTGACTTCAGCACAGGAGGTGTAGAGGAATGCTCTTGATGAGCTGAAGCAAGAACGTGCTCATCAGAAATACTGTTAGGAGGCTGCTGATCCTGCCTAAGTGGCAGAGGATCCAAAGTTCCAAGCCCAGCAGGTGGAGACATAAGGAGCGAAGCAGCTTCCACTTCCGCACCAGGCTAAGCACAACAGAAAGAAGAACAAAAAAAACCAAACAAAAACCAAAAACCAAAAATAAAAACCAAGCCAAAACCAAACCACCTCAACATCTCATATACAGTGTTCCAGTACAGATCCTCACATATGCAGCAAATGTTGGCTTTACACTGTCGCACTTCTCATTAGGGTACTGGAAGAAAAACTATTTCAAGTTTGCAAGACAGCTTAAAGAAAATCTATTCCTAATAACAAGTGTTTAACATGGTCTGAAAGCAAGTCACTTAAAAGTGAAAGCTTATTTTCTTCACAGAAAAAAAACACATTATCTTAGATGTTACACCAACACAACCAACTCCTCATGCAATCTTGTTTGCTTCTATTAAAGAACGAGTTACAGAGGATGCACGCAGTGAAGCGCTAGCTGTCTTTGTATGGACTAAACAGCACTTGACAAAAAACCTACAATTTTGAGGAAGACAGTTAAACAACTCCTAAATGTTTCTAATTTTCTTTCAGTAACTGTGCAAGCTGCAAAGTAAAAGAAGCACAAAAGTAAAGGGAGAATGAAACTACTATGGCACATCTATCTTATACATAGGTATCCAACCTCTCCTCCTCTATTCAAGTCCAGGAACCTGAAGCTGTACTCTGTCAGTAGCAAACTGCAGTAACATTACTGGGGAAAATCAACAGCCCCTCTTGGAAACTTTTTTTAATATATAAAGAGAATCTGTGCATTTAGCAGAAAAAAACAAAATGGAGCTCATCCAATGTCACTCCAATAGTCTAAAACCCCTTAGCTTGATAGCCCAAATAATTTCTTTATTCAGACATCAGCCTACTTTAGTCACAGATGCTGAAAATTTTAAAACAGTAAATGACAACTCAATAAAAATAATTATTAAATAAATTATTCACAATTACTTAAAAGGCACATTACTAATATGTATAATGGTAAGTCCCTTTTCTGGCTCACCTGAAAGGACCTTCTTTTTGAAGCTTCTCTTGCACCTTGCTTAGCTGAAGAAGGGACTGTTCCTAAACCTTGTGCTCTCTGGTGCGAAGACAAAGACTTGAATTTTGGAGGAGACACTAGAACCGCACCTCCTATTGTAGTGGAGAAGATGAAAAATGCTTTATTACCTTAAATAACCTACTAAGTTGATTAATACATGTCTTTTTTTTTTTTTTTTTGTTTTAAAAGTCCCTTTTCTGGCTCACCTGAAAGGACCTTCTTTTTGAAGCTTCTCTTGCACCTTGCTTAGCTGAAGAAGGGACTGTTCCTAAACCTTGTGCTCTCTGGTGCGAAGACAAAGACTTGAATTTTGGAGGAGACACTAGAACCGCACCTCCTATTGTAGTGGAGAAGATGAAAAATGCTTTATTACCTTAAATAACCTACTAAGTTGATTAATACATGTCTTTTTTTTTTTTTTCTTTAGTTCTAAAAATACTCCTTTGCATTTAAAAGTTTTTACCAACAGCTGGAGTAGTGAGATCATGATGAGTCCTCTGAGCTCCACCAAGCGCTCTCAGCTTTGGAGTAGGAAGCCTGCCGCCTGTCCTCAAGGATACAGGAGAATTTGACACCGCTGCAGAAGAATTCAATACTGAGGCATTCTCACTGCAAAAAAAACGATAAACTATTAAAGGATTAGCTAAGGATTCAGAAGCCTTGCACTCAAGCTTTTTGTTTCTAATACGTCGCTTCAATGAAGCATAAGGAAAGACAGTCAAGGCCATAAAACACCAACAGCCTGTAGCTAAAACATCTGCTTGCAATGAGGAGTCCTGGATTCCAGTCCCTGAGCTTTGGTTTCTGTATTTGCTTTTTTTCAAATGTAACTGGATAAAATACACAAACAGTCTCAAGCTGTAAATTCAGGCTCCCTCTGTCCCAATGAATCTCAATGCTGCCCAGCAGCAGAGACTCAACAATAGGGCTGGAAGGAGCACTCACTCAGGAAAACTTTGAACCTGGTTTCCACCTTAGAAGTGGGAATGTGGGTTTGACTCTTTTTCAGTCAATGTGGTGGAACTGAAACCAAGTATTCCACATTTATGTAACCGCTCTAGCCCCCAGGTTATTAAATAAATCATCAGCACTACTACTTCTGTCTTCTTCCAGATGCACTTCAAAAGGAGGTGGCTTCACACCCACTCTGCAAGGAACTTGCATGCTCAGAGTACATCCAGGTAAAGAATGCCTCAGTTCTTGCTCTCAAGCAGGCTTAGATAACATGCAAGTGTTAAGCTGCTCTGTTAAGCAGATCTCAGCACACACAGACATATTGAGGGATAAGAGCAAATCTTCAGTGTCAAGCAGAGAGACACATCTATGAACTAGATAATCTCTAGAATTAGACAGAAACTTAAGAAGGTTTTCAGGATGATGGTTTTGAAAGTCTGCATTTAATTTCTGTTTAAGCCTAGCATCTCAACTTTTCCTTGCCTGGGTTTTGTATACAGGATATTATCTGCAAAGGAGACAATTATAATTCCTTCCCTTAGATTTATGCTGCAAGACCAAAGATAAAGCCCCAGAAGGAATACAAAATGTTTAGATAGTATGGTAACAAGGCTCAAAGTTATTCAGATTTAACTATCTACCAAAACAAAATACTGTTCTACCAAAAAAAGTATGCAAATCTTGCACAAGTAAAAACCAGAGACTTCTGTAACTAGATACAATTAAGGTCCTGTGCCCTGTACTATATACATACTGAACTGATCTCTCATTATTTGTGAAGATCTCTCCACCTTTTTCCCACCTGTCCTCAGAAGCATAATGACCAGTGATTACTGGATGCTAGTTATTTTTTCTCCTAAGTCCTTTCTTCTTTGCCCATGAATTTTTTTTTTACAAAAAGCAGGTGCTTAATCACAAGATTAGCATGTATTCTATTCTTTCAGTCCTATCAATCCTACACTACCAATTTGAAGCTAATTGTGAGCTTTAATTTTTTAATACACTTGGCTGCTGCGCTATTAACATTCTGTTCCAAGGGGCACATACTGCAAAGTTCAAGTTGTGGAAAAAAATGCCAACTAGAATTGTTCCTGCTTCTACAAACTTTTATCTTGCAAGTTATAAATCTGGTATTCTTAATGATAGATCTATTTTCATTAACCAGTTCAATGTCTTGAACCTTCTCATTCCTTAACATACTGTTAAAAATAGAAGTAGTGTCACACCAGGTTATACCCTCTCAAGTAAATGTGATTTAAAAACTAAAATCAGTTACTCTACACATTTCTGAGATGTTAGAGGGAAATATATGTATATATACACCACAAAAAGATTAATTTTTACTTCTCAATTTTCTTATCTTCGTTGGCATTCTTATTGTTTTCTTCTAAGTGCTGAGCCTCAACTGCAGCATGTTCATCTTGTTTTTCTTCCTCTTCTGTTCTCTGCTGATTCTCCCTTTTTTCTGTACCTTCTTGTTCACCCCAAGCTAAGCGCTTTTTGACTGGAACAGTTAAAGCTTCTGACATATCTTTCCTCTCAGTGCTGTCCTGGTGTGGCTGTTCTCTGGAATCAGGTTGCTGCAGCATTTCAAGGCTTGGTGCAGTCTCTTTTTCAGAAACTCTAGGTAATAAAGAACATGCTGTTTTGTACCATTGATCTGCATGATATACACACGTCTATGTAGAACACATTAATCCAGATCAGTCCTTTTTTTGTACCCAAAAGTACAGCTCAGATATTAAACAGTGGTACAGCTGACACAATGAATGAAATTTTACCAAGTTTACGCACAATACATTTTCAACCTAGATTATATGAAAACTCTTTCTAGATTACCATTTCCAAAAATGCAGTGTAAAATCAAGGTTCTATTTCCAATTTAAACAAAAAGTTAGATTATCACAAGAGCTAAAAAACTAACTCGAGCCATGGGTAGGGTCTGTCTAATGGCAATTTTGAAAGCCAAGCAATTTAGAAGACCCTTCTTCAGATACAGCTTTCAAAAGACTTAAACTCTCAGCTGTTCACAGAAATCTGTGCAAATTAGACCCATGCACAGAAATTAGAGTAGTAAGAGGATCTGTATTTCACAGGCAAAAAAACCCCAAAACCAGTAAACCAAAAACTTTACACCATACTTAGTATCACACATTATAGTATAATAAATACTCTTTCACATGTCATCTCCTAACACTTATTAGAGCTATAGTCACACCAATGGGTGTTGGAACAAGTCTAGAGGAGAGCCACAAAAGTGACCAGAGGGCTGGAGCAACTCTCCTATGCAGAAAGGCTCAGAGTTCAAGTCTTTCAGCCTGGAGAAGCCTCTCAATGCTTAAAGGGGGCCTATAAGAAAGATGGAAACAAAGTTTTTAGCAGGGCCTGTAGTGATGGGACAAGGGGTATGGTTGTAAATTCAAAGTGGGTAGATTTAGACTAGATAGAAAGAAGAAATTTTTTACAATGAGAGTGGTGAGTTCTGGTATAGGTTGCCCAGAGAGCTGGTAGATGCCCCATTCCTGGAAACACTTAAAGTCAGGTAGGATGGAGATCTCTCCACCTTTTTCCCACCTGTCCTCAGAAGCATAATGACCAGTGATTACTGGATGCTAGTTATTTTTTCTCCTAAGTCCTTTCTTCTTTGCCCATGAATTTTTTTTTTACAAAAAGCAGGTGCTTAATCACAAGATTAGCATGTATTCTATTCTTTCAGTCCTATCAATCCTACACTACCAATTTGAAGCTAATTGTGAGCTTTAATTTTTTAATACACTTGGCTGCTGCGCTATTAACATTCTGTTCCAAGGGGCACATACTGCAAAGTTCAAGTTGTGGAAAAAAATGCCAACTAGAATTGTTCCTGCTTCTACAAACTTTTATCTTGCAAGTTATAAATCTGGTATTCTTAATGATAGATCTATTTTCATTAACCAGTTCAATGTCTTGAACCTTCTCATTCCTTAACATACTGTTAAAAATAGAAGTAGTGTCACACCAGGTTATACCCTCTCAAGTAAATGTGATTTAAAAACTAAAATCAGTTACTCTACACATTTCTGAGATGTTAGAGGGAAATATATGTATATATACACCACAAAAAGATTAATTTTTACTTCTCAATTTTCTTATCTTCGTTGGCATTCTTATTGTTTTCTTCTAAGTGCTGAGCCTCAACTGCAGCATGTTCATCTTGTTTTTCTTCCTCTTCTGTTCTCTGCTGATTCTCCCTTTTTTCTGTACCTTCTTGTTCACCCCAAGCTAAGCGCTTTTTGACTGGAACAGTTAAAGCTTCTGACATATCTTTCCTCTCAGTGCTGTCCTGGTGTGGCTGTTCTCTGGAATCAGGTTGCTGCAGCATTTCAAGGCTTGGTGCAGTCTCTTTTTCAGAAACTCTAGGTAATAAAGAACATGCTGTTTTGTACCATTGATCTGCATGATATACACACGTCTATGTAGAACACATTAATCCAGATCAGTCCTTTTTTTGTACCCAAAAGTACAGCTCAGATATTAAACAGTGGTACAGCTGACACAATGAATGAAATTTTACCAAGTTTACGCACAATACATTTTCAACCTAGATTATATGAAAACTCTTTCTAGATTACCATTTCCAAAAATGCAGTGTAAAATCAAGGTTCTATTTCCAATTTAAACAAAAAGTTAGATTATCACAAGAGCTAAAAAACTAACTCGAGCCATGGGTAGGGTCTGTCTAATGGCAATTTTGAAAGCCAAGCAATTTAGAAGACCCTTCTTCAGATACAGCTTTCAAAAGACTTAAACTCTCAGCTGTTCACAGAAATCTGTGCAAATTAGACCCATGCACAGAAATTAGAGTAGTAAGAGGATCTGTATTTCACAGGCAAAAAAACCCCAAAACCAGTAAACCAAAAACTTTACACCATACTTAGTATCACACATTATAGTATAATAAATACTCTTTCACATGTCATCTCCTAACACTTATTAGAGCTATAGTCACACCAATGGGTGTTGGAACAAGTCTAGAGGAGAGCCACAAAAGTGACCAGAGGGCTGGAGCAACTCTCCTATGCAGAAAGGCTCAGAGTTCAAGTCTTTCAGCCTGGAGAAGCCTCTCAATGCTTAAAGGGGGCCTATAAGAAAGATGGAAACAAAGTTTTTAGCAGGGCCTGTAGTGATGGGACAAGGGGTATGGTTGTAAATTCAAAGTGGGTAGATTTAGACTAGATAGAAAGAAGAAATTTTTTACAATGAGAGTGGTGAGTTCTGGTATAGGTTGCCCAGAGAGCTGGTAGATGCCCCATTCCTGGAAACACTTAAAGTCAGGTAGGATGGAGCTCTGACCAAACTGATCTAGTTGAAGATGTCCCTGCTCACTGCATGGGGGTCGGACTAGGTAACCTTTAAAGGTCCCTTCCAACCCATACCATGCTATGATTCTACAATGTCTCCTACACACACGAGTAGTACACATACTGCAGTCTTAGTGCACCGCAGATAGCGGCAGCCAAGGCACTGTTCTTACATATCAGATCTCTGAAAATACTCAAATGTGTTGGTTTTTTTCCTCCCTGTTTCAGCCATAGCTGTCCATCCATTTTACTAAAATACTAATTCTGAATATTCCTAGCAAGAGATTTAAAATCCACAAATTCTGATGGCCATCAAAGAGAGGAAGAAAATGGATGTACACCATTCCAGTTTCTAAGTCTTCATCTCAGAAATAAACAGCATCTAAGACTAATTAACCACAAGACTAATTAATCCTGACAAGGACATTGATAACATCTAAATAGGCAAAATATATTTCATATCATTCCAGAGTAAATAATATTACTTCAGTATGACTTGGTACAAAATTCCTCCAGACTTGATGAGACTAATGTTGCCACACTAAATATGCATTTGTGGAAAATCATAAAGGAGTAACTTACTCTTCTTTCAGAAGACTGGACTGTGCCTCATATGCAATTTGAGCACAAATCAACTGATGTTTCTGTGAAAAGGTAAATGCCCTCATCTGCTCTAGAGAATGTACATACCACAGAGTTGCAGAACATCCCAGGTTGGAAGGGTCCTCAAAAGACTAACTAGTCCAGCCTTTTGTGGGGAAAGGGAGCCTAGATGAGATTACTTGAATACAAGCAAACATCCAATATCTCACAACTATGCTAAGCCTATTTTCAGCATTTTGCTGTTTCTAAGCTGCAGAGTAACAGGCAGGAATGACAACCTTACCCAGCAAGATCTAGTGCTCTGATGTTGTTGCTGATGCTTTCTTCTGAACTGGAATTTGAAGACACATCCCAAAGACTGTTATTATCGGACAGGATCTGATTGAGATGGTATCGGGAGAAGTGTGTTCCCTCTACTTGTTGCCTGTAAGCCTTTGCTCTTTCTCGAAGTTCTCTCACCTGCACATGAAGGTTTCATTAAGTTGTAAGTCTGTTTAAAGCTCACTAACAGGCTATTGTTAAGTATCTGCATTAGCTAATGGCAGCTGAAGGAGAAAGGCAAGTTACCGATAATACAGGGCCACCCACAGCACAAACATTGCATGCCACAGTAAATGCAACAAAAGGAAGCAAAAAATAACAAATGTGTATACTTAGTAAGCATGTTTGAGCCATGAAGCCAAAGCAAAATTGTCAATTACTCATTCAATAAGCACAAAAAGTTATGCAGCAACTATGCATAAGTTTAGTGCTGGGTTCTAGTTTTTCCATTAGCACAGAGACACAGTGCTCCAAACACTGAAACAAGAACTTTGTTGCAACCAACCTCCATATACCACATGGAATTTAGGGTGTTTTGAGATACCTAAGGAGAGGAATACAAAATTATTTTAAAATTTCTTCTTTTTTTCTCAACACTGTATGGTTATTATCACCCTTGTAACTTTATTTCAGTCTAAGAAGGAAATAAATAACAAAAAACCTGTCAACATAGCTCTATGCTGCCTCCCTGAGATTCAGTAAGAAGCTGTAAAGCAAATAAATCAGCACTGATATTACACCGTTTTTGCCAAGCTTGAGGAGCTTGATTTAGACCTCCAAGCCTTATCATCAAAAATGTATTTACCACACACACTGATTTATTATTATTATTATTTCAAGCCAGCAGATCTATGTGCATGTGTAATACTGAATTGGTATGCTGTGAACACTGCAGCCCTCTCTAGCTACATCAATCCTATCTCAGTGAGGAACTGCTGATCACAGGAAAACTCTGGGTTCTATTTTATGTAAGACATGATACCAAAATAATTCCTCCTAAGCTACTGGTAACTAAGAAAGAGATGTCAGGTTTAGTCTTAAAAGAATAGAAGTGATAAGCTATCCCTTTAGACAAAACACTGCTGATTTTACACTATCATTTTTATGGCTAAAACTGTTTCAACACTCACACAGTTTTGTGTCCTTCACCCAAACACGATTAAAGTGCAGGAAGAAAAATTAACAACAAACTTTTACGTTTGTATGATTAAAAGTAACTTTTGATATTGTTGTGTGACTTCTGGCTCACTAAAAAATGATTCACAGGAAATAAGTATTTTGTCAAGGAGCAGAAGAGTTATACTGACACTTCCTTTAGAACTTTTTCATGGCTTTTCTTAATTATTCTTCTTTCATTATAGATTTTGCATCATTCTTCCTGCACGGAACAGTTAAGTGGGCCTAATTCTGTTAAACCAGATGCAGCAGATGGAAACCTACTTAGCCTACACCAGGTAACAACCCACACTTTGACCCACGAAACTTCCAAAGAATGGCCCATTAAAAATATATACTTGTCATTTTAAGAAGAGTTTGAAGCCTGAGGTGCAAGTGATCTACTGGATTATTCACTTTAAGTAGAAGAATGAAAAATTAATTACGATTGCCACAAGCAGAAGGAATATAAATCCAGAGCAACAGGACACTGCAGGGGAAGGAAGAATACTATGTCTCCAGTGAATTGTGAAGAAGTACAAAGACAACTGTCTCTTTCAGTCACTCAGTGGGCAGCATTATCTCAACAGGGTACAGGTCCCAGAGAGTCCTACTGTGATTATGAATTGCCCACATTAATTTTTCAGAAGCACAATTCTAAGAGATTTTTTTCATTCAAATAAATATTTTCGCTGCTGAAAACAACCCTTAATAATATATTGTAGAGTTGCAGCCTAGGACAGACCACTATGGCTAAGGTCATATCAGGATTCTATTAAGGTCTTTGCCTCCCTATGGCTGAGAACTTTAAAAAATCTGCTTTGGAGCCAAAGTTATCCATGTGTGGTCCCAACTACGAGGGGAAACCAGACTGAATCAGTCAGTGCTTATAATCTAATCACTCGCGCTAAGAGAGAGAGAGGTTCTGTAGGCACCTGCAGCAAGGGAGAGTCTCAACAATCAACCAGAGGTATAGATTAGATACAGCTTTGCAGATTTCTCTTCATGTCAGTGAAAATTACTGGAAATAGGTATGGAATTGTTTAGAAACCAAAAGGACTGTTGAGCAGCCTATACTGTAAATGGCCAAAGTACCTTTGTTGCTTTATTGCAAAACCAATGTGCTTGACACTTTTTTCAAGTTATGCATACTTACATTAATCTGCTGTTAACATATTTCTCAAATGGCAAGATTCTTTTTTATGTCTCAACCATGAATGAAAGCTTTTCTTCAGTCCTACTATTTTAGCCATGCTGAATCCCATTCAGTAGTTATTATACCAAAAAATATTGATGGATGCTTAAAAAAACAAAAAGCCTGGCCAACAATCATATAAATCAGGATTTTTATTCTTGTATTAATAGAAGGTTTTAAGAATTAACACTGGTTATCTTCCAACCTGTCTAGAAGACTAGAAAATTCCAAGCTTTAACCGTGCTCTTTGCTTTCACTACACCCACGGAAAGCTTCTTTTTAGGGATTATATAAATCCCAGTGATACATATGGAAATACTAACAGGACAATAGCAAATTAAAAAAACAACATATAGAAAGAATCACACACAGTAGTAACATATTTATACAAGTAAAATATTATTCTTCGTGTACTAGCAAAACTATTTTGATATGCTGTACTGGTTTTATCTGGGATAGAGTTAAATTTATTTATAGTAGCTCCTATGGTGCTATGTTTTGGATTTGTGCTGAAAGCAGAATTGACAACAAAGAATGTTTTCACTATTGCTGAGCGGTGCTGATACAGAGTCAAGGCCTTTTCTGTTTCTCACACCACCTTGCCAGCAAGGAGGCTGGGGGTGCACAAGAAGATGGGAAGGGGACACAGCCAGGACAGCTGACCCCAGATGACCAAAGGGATATTTCATACCATATGATGTTGTGCTCAGCAATAAAAGCTGGGGAAAACGGGGACATTTGGAGTGGTGGCATTCATTTTCACAACTAACTTTAAGGCGTGTTGGAGCCCTGCTTTCCTGGAGATAGCTGAACACCTACCTGCTGATGGCAAGTAGTGAATGAACTCCTTATTTTGCTTTGCTCACACAGTTCCTGCTTTACCTGTTCACATCCATGAGCCATCCACTCCAATTCTACCTTCTGCATTAGCTTGTTCTCAACTGACGGTGAAACACACATTTTCAAGTATTTGCCACACCTTTGGTGCACACAGTGTCTCACAAAGGCTCCCTCTTTAGGCTGAGAGAAGCCTAAGTCAATTCAGTGAAATCTGACACGTTTCTTAGCACACTGCTAACAGTTCTAAATTACTTGACTAGTTCTAGAAATCATATTCAATAATGCTGCTGAGAAATCCTATGTTCCTGAAGCTGTTCAGATTTTCATAGTTCTGCCAAATGACTTCCAGTACAGTAAGACACCAATTGTGGTTACTGAACAAACTGCAAGAAAATACTTCTTGGCTGAAACTTGCAAGAGAAATTCTTGATTTTATGTTGTTTCTGACTGAATTCAGCTGACTGCGTTGAATGGATTCAGCATGGCAAGTTGAGAAACTGAGCCTGACTACCAAGCTGACCTAGGCTAATACATACATTTTAACCCCTTGAAATTTCCTATCATCCAATTCTGCATTTTGAGAACTCTTGCTTGTTAAAGCTGGGCCGAATATCAATGCTGAGATTATCTCCAAGAGACTTGGTTCTGTATCTGGAAAGAAACAAAACTCCCCCCTCACTGTGGATGTCACAATATATTCTTTAAGTCACTCTCTCTCTTATTTTTTCTTGCTATATATTATACTCACTCATAGTGCTAGAAACTCAAGCTCCCAAGGTGAGTATACAAAGACGATCAGGTTCTGACAAGTCAGTATAATATATAGCAAGAAAAAATAAGAAAAAAAAACCAAACAACAACTTTGAATTGTGGTGTTTGTAAAATAAAACGTTGAGGCTTTTTGCAACTAAAAACCAAAATACAAGCACACTCAGGCTACAGATTTTTTAAGGATACTCACCTGGTTGGGAACTTTACTCCTAATACGAGACCAAACTCCATCTTTGTAGAAATACTGGGTTGGAGACAAAAACTTCGACTTATATTCAGTGTTCACCTTCCTAAGAAATCAAGAACAAAACATGTAAAAAAGACAGAAAGTGACAGAAAGAGCTTAATATCCAGAAGACTCTTTAAGAGTACTTTTAACGTTACATCAACAATTGTTAAGGGTATTCATAATTAAATGCCAGAGCCTAGATGTGAAAAACACATGCTTTGAAACACAGCTCATCCGTAACAATAGAACTAGAAAAGCTCTGACAAAGCTCATTCACAGTTGGTGCTCTTCAAGTAGGTAGCTACTCCTCTTGGTTTTTCCTCACAACCCTTCTGCCAGAAGCTTTTGCCCTGACAACCAAATCAGCAGAGAACACACATAAACCTCAATTACTTCAATGCAAAGTGCAGCATCTTGGTTTAAACACTGATTAAAATGAACTTAAGTAAAAATGCTTGGTTTGGCACTAACGTGTCTGAGACATTTCCTTCTATGAACACCACTCTGAAGGCACTCTGCATATGGGTGGGGTGAACTGTCCAGGCTAAAAACATCTGACTACCAGAACAATGGTCAGTATAATTCATCTAACTATGCCCTACTGGCTTTGATCTTCAAAAGACCTCTGTACTTGAAAAGATGGATTCATTTTCCCTTCTGCCACACACATCCATACAAAGAAAAACTAACATCATCTAACCTAAAGCAGACAATAAGCAATACTTCCAAGTCCTTAAGCATTGAACTGTGGATTTATCAGTTTGCATCTATAGAGGGTTTTGGTTTTAATCTTTCTTGACAACATTAACAACTTTAATATATACAGCACAGAATGAAAAAACCCTCATTTTCAGTCCTTCTTCAGAAATAGATCATTGTCCTGGTTTGAGCCAGGATGAAGCCAATTTTTCTTTTTACTGATTTTTTTTTCCTTCAGTAAGATTTCTTGTAACTAGCAACAGTGTGTTCTGCTAGGCTGATAAGACAGTGGAATGTTTTTCTAACTACTGAGGCTTCAAGGCTGCACCTGCACTCTGCCGGCTCAGACACTATGGGGAGATCTGTGCCCCCCCCGTAGGAGGCTGAGTTAGACAGACAGCAAAATTGGCCAAAGATATTCCATTCCATATATCTACGTAAGCTCAAAGGAAGGTCAGAGATCACAGAAGACAATTTCCTTCCTTCTTCTTCTCCCCTTCTCTTCCGTCCATGGCCGGTGTCCAGGGAGGACTCTGTTCATCCATCACCGTCGATCCTCAGGCTTGATCTCTCCTGACCCCCATAACTCTCTGCTTTCTCCAGCAGCAGCTTCAGGATTCCTCGGGACTCTTCCCAGTTCAGGGAAGTGCTGTGGGAGTTGCTGGGGTGGGGGGGGAGGCGAGAGGCTTTTGCCCATACCTGAATATATCTGTATATAATTGTATATATTTTCTTGTATCATTCATTAGTGTTTTAATTAAAGCTGTGTAGTTTAGTTTTCAATCCAGCCAAATCTCTCTCTTTTTCTCTCTCTCCTTCCCTACCTGGGTTGGGGGGAGGGGGGATCAAGAGCATTGTTGTCGGACCTGAGTCAAACTGTGACAATCATAAAAGTCTGAAGTTAGATAATAAAAAACCCCTTCATATTCAAAATTTCTTTCCATATGTCCCTTTCTTTGAAACTGACATAATTCCTTCAGTTTTGGTTATAAAACTAATGGATTAGCTCAAAAAAATCATCACTGCTGTGCCTTGATCCCAGTCATCCTGCTGCAGTACAGCTTGCATACAAAGCGACAGTCCTGTCTGCAAGTAACAGTCCTGTCTGCATACTGAGAACTTCCACATTTGGACAGCTATTTGCCTAGTGACTGTTTTGGAAATTTTTGTTCTGTGCTACAGCAATGAAGGCGTAAGAGGTAGGAATCTGTCCCTAAATGAAAAATGTCATAGCAAATGATCAAGAATTGTACACGCTACTCACTGCAAAACAGACTACAATTTACTGCATCAAAGAGCTATGAAAACCAAGAGTTAAAGGTTTTAACTACACTATATCCACTCACTTTTTCATAAATCTATTTTATTTCATAGAATTTTGGGTGATTGCATTTGTCCCACTATCAAACATCATTCTGACCTACATAAGTCTCCCTCCCATCTTTAATCTAACGCCTTAACACTGCTAGAAAGCCATGTGAATGAAAGCAATCACTGGGACACACATCAAGCACAAAGACAGCAGAGATGTATTTAGTTACGCATTTCAAAACCTACATCCTTTCTAGGCTTTTATTTCTCTTGGCATTTCTCAGATGTGGGAAAATGGAAACATGACATCAGTTCCTCCGATATAGGCACGCAGCAGAAGACAAAGATACTTTGATGGTGCTCAGTAACATACAATTTCATTTCATTTCATTTCAATGCTTGTCAGATTATCCTAAATGGGACAGATTTATTTCCTTCCCTTTACCTCATGTGTTCGCTTTTATTACTCTGGGACAGAAGGTGGTACAGACTAGAAAAAGCAGAAATCAAGTACAATCACCACAGTTTTACGGCATGGAGAACAAGCACAGGAGAGCAACTTGACAGGCAACTACAACACCCAAAGCTCTTGCTGAATGCTTATCAGCAGTGTTGCACCAATTTCATTTTATTCACGTTAAAGGTATTAATATTATTATTGCATCAGAAGGTTCAACTGAATGAGGGTGGTTACAAAGCTTCCCCTTCTGCTGCCCAGAGAAGGACATGGAAATGAACACCAGATTTAGATGTACCCACAAGAAGCTCAATCCCAACACTGGAAGGGGGCATTTGCACCTACAACTGTAGCATGGTGTAGTTCAAGGTCCACTGTCCATCACTAAGTATTATGCTTCTGTACACCTATTCACTAGGCTAGGTTTTCCAATTTTATACATACCTACGAGTTGTACGTAAAGAGAGGGGCTTTGGACTGATATGTTGCTTATTTTTTTGTTTAGGATGTTTCTCTTCCAATTTCCCTTGTTTTGCTGTATCTTCTGCTGGCTTTTGAAGTGGTTCTTCCCTCTTACTCTAAGGCAAAGATAATTTTTAAAGTACCACATTAGCTAATAATGTAAAAACCCTCATATTCCTTCTTACATCAAGTTTTTACCAAAATTGTGTTAATTTTAAAATTAATAAAATGAAATTTATTTTAGTGTTAGCTGTTTTGCTTATTTAATACAAAGAAGAATTTTACATACCTTTGCTAATACAAAAACTAACCAGCAAAACGTCAAAGCTAAGATTTTGAATGCAACATTCAGTTAGTCAGATTATGTGCTCTACAAAAGGAATTTAACACAAAACACAGAAGTAAAATAATACAATGCCTGTGCATTCTAACCTGAGCTGTGCAAAACTTAACATATTTCTGGAATCTGTACTAAATTAAAAAAACAACTCCTAGCTTTATAGTCAAAGCAATATAAACCAATTTATAATAAACTAAAAAGCAAACATTTCATTTGCTGCCATTCTGGTTTATACAGGCTCCAGCCTGACTTGTTCAGTTTTCACAAAGGAGGTTTTTCTCCTGCTTATTTTATTCTCTCAGAAATCTCATGCTCCACTTCTGATTCTGCGAGAGATCTTCAGATACTGTTCAAATTCAAGAAAAAATAAAAATAAAAAAGCCCACCAAAATCTCCTTTTTTCAAGATATTAACCAGAGAAGAGATACCAGTATAATTAAAATGTGTTCTAGACACTTTCACCAAATTTCCCTTCTCATGCCATCTCTTCCTTCACTTTATTAGCTCTCTTGGGAAACATAACCTGAATTTCCAATATCACAAAGAAATGCTTCTTGAAAGCCTCAGGCCTTTCAGGTTTTCTTCACATCTGCTAAAAGAGGCCAAAGGGCATAAAAAATTCCTCAATGCTAGAAGAGATTAAAAGCACTGGGCAGTTCTGAATTTTAAACTATAAAGCCTCCAAGCGAATAATCATCTTAACCTCAAATGTACCAACAGCTTACAGTGAGCCACAGGCACTCCATGTTAAGTATGAGTTTTGCTCTGCAATGGTGCTGGTGAACATGTTTCTCACAATGGCTCTTTATGTTTTATCAAGGAACAGAGATGGGTACTGATGAGACTCATGTGGTCCTTCTACCTGAAAGACAGTTAGCTAACCTGCAGGAATTCAGGCAACAGTACTTGGCAGCTTGCTACAAGAACAGACATTTGCCTGTCCACCTTGCAAAACACATTAGCTGACAGGCAGTCCAAATTGCTCTCACGTATTTTTACAAAGTCTCAGTCTCAAACAATTCCTTTGAGTTAAATGTATCTGCTAAAATCGCCATAGCCATGTTTCCTAAAAACCCACCTAAGTTTGCCCATCAACAGCAAGACAAGAAAATGCAAGGCCTCAGAAAGCCAAATTACTTTCATAAAAGACATTTTAATGTTTTGAGCTGAATAAAAGAGCCTACATAGGCTACATAATGCCCTGTTATAGCCTAGTGATAAATACAATAACTTACCTTTCAACTTGCCAAGGCAAAGGCAAATGAATTGTAACCCTTCCTCCACGTTTCTTCCAATTACAACTACTGGATGAAAATCAATTCCAACTATATAACATCTTCCATAAATAAATTATATTTTTTTAATTCATACTAGGTCTGACTTATGAGATCGAAAAAGTTTCAGATCTCCCATGCAGCCCTCTTGTACACCAAGAGCTTACACTGGTACTAATGAGAGTAGGAATCAGAGATTTACATTTCAGAAACTACCCTAATAACTAAACGAAGTTTCAATTAAAAAAAACAAAACACCACAAAAAAACCAACAACAAAACACAAGGGAAAAAAAAGGACCTACTTGAAAATTCACAAATTAAGATGACAGGAAAAACACAGTTAAAATATCATTGCAAACTGAGCAAATATACTACAAAAACTACAGAACCCACTACAGAAACCCCTAAGAGAAAACAGATGTACAGTGCTATTTTCAGACTTTTATGGCAAAATCACCAAGTCCAGTGTCTTTAGAAACAGCTATAAAATGTAATTTAAAAATTCCAGAATAAACCAAATCACACATTATAGAAAAGTGTAGCAAAAAGTATACTAAGGCCTTTCTTTTAAGAAAGTAAGAACTTGTTCACAAACCTGAAATTCTTTCTCTTCTGAACCACCTCTCTCTTCTTGTGGATCCTTAGCAGGAGGAGACGCTTTAAAATTTCTCTCATGTGCAGTTTCTGTAGTAATTGCAGGAGATTTAAATGGAGGTGTGGATTTACTTGTGTTGCTAATAATCTTTGGGGAAAGAAAACCACAGGAAAAAAAGTGTGATTTGCTTATGTTAAGGCTAAATTTTCAAGATCAGTTGACCATTCATATGAACACAGAGACAGTAATGAGTACAAATACAGCATGTGCAGAGCAATTAACTTCTACAACAAACAGAAGAGAAACTTTTAAAGTCACCAAGTCAGACACAGTTAAACCCTGTGGTCAAACACTGTCTTTAGTGGAGTTCACTAACAGAGGTTTTCTTTACTTGAGAAAACAGTTCACCTTCAGAGTTGTACACAGGATCATACTTTTTAAATGTCTGACATAAAACTTCTCTGAGAGCCCGCAATGCACATCCAGACCATAAGTAACAGGCAACTACTCTGTTAGAACTGAGTACTTAGGGCTTGGTAACTGTGCTATCCACTGTTTTCCAATCAATACCACATTACAAACCAAAGCAGAGAATTTGCCTACTATGTGGTCAGGTATCATCTCCTCATGGGGTGCCTGAATTAAAAGAATATGCCAGATGTCACAAGAATACATTTTACCCAGCTTTGCTATGAGAGTTTAGGCCTGACTTGTAACCTAATTTGGATAACCTTGATATTTTCACATAATCTCTTAAAAGGGAAAGGTATTGTCACTGTTCAGTATTCAGGTTTATTAATTCATCATATCAACAGCAAAAGAAAATCAGTTTGTTAATACATCTAATTTTTACCATCACTCCAATCTTAAGTTTATAACATGCAAACACTTCTACGTACTTAGATTTTCTCAATTTATCCAAGGATTTATAGTGCCTATGGACTCATGGTTTCTTATTCTGTATAAGCTGTGCAAAAAGAAGTTTGCTACTTTAGATTCCGCAGTCTTTCTTCTAAAAAATCACGTTTGCAGCATCAATAATGAAATTATCAAACTGATTTGATCATTTCTAATAGAATCAAACTGAATTCTCTACAAAATTTTCCATAAAATGACATTCTGGGACCTGCCTCTTTCTCAAATGGTATTTCAGCCTCTATAGTATTGTCATGTATTTCGGTGAGTTTTCCTTGGACAAGGCACTGCTAGGAAACAGGTATACCGAAGTAAGTACACCTGCTTCACATTCCAACAAGAAAAAGACAGGAACAGTTTTTATAATGATTGATCCTAGTTATCAACCTACACTGCCTCTGAAAGCTTTTACTGAACCTGTCAGTAAAAACAGAGCGCTACCTGTAATAATCTCATTAATGTGTATGCTCCTAGTGAAAAAACAGAAGACAAAAATAAAAGCAGAAGTCCCTATTTCATACTGTAAAATGACCAAAAGATGGACCAAGGCTCCCAAGTCTTGATGCCAGTAACAATGAAATGAAAACACAAAGCTGTCTCACAATCTGAGTTTCCCTTTGAGGTCTGATTAGAAATAGCACCATTTCCAATCCTACAAAGTCCAAAAGTTCATGATACACATCAAAATGCCACAAGACTATCTTAAAATCAGATGATTCCACTTTCAAGTATATGCAGTTCTCATGAAAGAAAATACACCTCAGATACACCTGAACATTCATCTGTTTATTAGCCATGTATTAGATAACATTAAAATTATAAAAATGAAGGGTAACATTGAGTAGGACCTTAGCACTTCTACAGTAAATTACTGCAAACAGAGGATAATGGTGCCATTAGAAAGGATGAAATACAACCAAGGAGAACAAATAATTTGGCTTGACTACAGTAAAGAATCACAGAGAAACAAATCTAATTATACTGCACTTTTGTATATTGGAAAGAAGGAAAAAACACTATATAACAGCATTGTTTGGAGCCTTCCCACCCCCATCAAAAAGGAAGAAAGGAAATCTTGGAAAGTCAACAACTTCGCTGACATGTAGTCTAGTCAGGGTTGGAAGGGACCTCCCAAGATCATCCAGTCCAACCCCCCTGCTAGAGCAGGGTCACCTACTGCAGGTCACAAAGGGACATATCCAGACATGTTTTGAACGTTTCCAGAGAAAGAGACTCCACAACCTCTCTGGTCAGCCTGTTCCAGTGCTCTGTCACTCTCACAGTAAAGAAACGGGCCTCTCAGTTCAAGAAGGACAGGGAACTGCTTGAGAATCCAGTGCAGAGCCAAGAAGATGATGAAGGGAGTGGAACATCTCCCTTACGAGGAAAGGCTGAGGGAGCTGGGTCTCTTTAGCTTGGAGAAGAGGAGACTGAGGGGCGACCTCATCAATGTTTACAAATATGTAACGGGTGAGCATCAGGACGATGGAGCCAAGATTTTTGCAGTGATGACCAGTGACAGGACAAGGGGAAATGGGTGCAAACTGGAACACAGGAGGTTCCACATAAACATCAGAAAAACCTTTACTGTGAGAGTGACAGAGCACTGGAACAGGCTGCCCAGACAGGCTGTGGAGTCTCCTTCTCTGGAGACATTCAAAACCCACGTGGACAAGTTCCTGTGTGATGTGCTCTAAGTGACCCTGCTCTGGCAGAGGTGTTGGACTAGATGATCTTGAGAGGTTCCTTCCAACCCCTAGGATTCTGTGATTCTGTGAGACTTTTCCTTATGTTTCACTTGAACTTCCTATGCTCCGGCTTGTGCCAACTGTCCCTTGGCCTCACATTGGACACTGCAGAAAAGAGAGTGGACCCATCCTCCTGACACCCACCCTTTAGATAAGCATTTATGAGAACCCCCCTCAGTCTCCTCCAGGCTAAACAGGCCCAGCTCTCTCAGCCTTTCTTCATAGGGCAGATGTTCCATTCCTCTAATCCTCTTAGTGGCCCCTACGTTGGACTCTTTCCAGTAGTTTCTTATCCTTTATGAACTGGGGAGCTCAGAATTGGACACAATACTCCATATGTGGCCTCACCAGGGCAGAATAGAGGGGGAGGATAACCTCCCTTGATTTCCTGACCACACTCTTTTTAATACACCCCAGGATATCATTGGCCTTCTTGGCTGCAAGGGCACATTGTTGGCTCCTGGTCAGCCTGTTGTCCATCAGGACCCTCAAGGTTCTCCTCCCCAGAGCTGTTCTCCAGCAGGTCAGGCCCCAACCTGTACTGATACACAGCGTTGCCCTTCCCCAGACACAGTACTTTATATTTGCCCTTTTTTAATTTAATTAAGTTTGTCCCTGACCAACTCCCCAGCCTGTCCAGGTCATACTGAAGGCAGCACAGCCTTCTGGTGTGTCAGCCACCCCTCCCAGTTTTGTATCATCAACAAACTTGCTAATTATACATTCTATCCCCTCACCTAGGTCATTAACGAATATACGGAACAGGGCTGGACCCAGTACCGACACCTGCGGGACCCCATTAGACACAGGTCTCCAACTAGACTCTGCCCCACTTACAACTCTCTGATACTCAGAAGAAAGTATTCATTTACTTTTTGGATTCTTAAAAGTTACCTGTTCAGCTGCAAGTATTGGTGACTTTTCATGAGGATTCTTCCAAACAAATTGGCTTTGATATTCAGAATTTCTGGGGAAAGTATTTAAATGTGAAATGTTCACGCCTGCTTTCCTCTGAAGGACTCTCTGAAGCTGATGACACACACATGCAGAAAAAAAACAACACCACAACACTGATTATTCCTTTTCCTACAATGTTTTGCAAGTCAAGTATCTTTCAATGCACACTTTCAAACCAATAGTTTGTATTTTGGTTGTATGAACGAAATGAATGCAAAGTAGATTTTCTCATTATAGCCAACAACCCCAAAAAGTCACTATGTTATTGGCTAAATCCTTGTTTAACTGAAATCAGTAGGGACAGCACATGAAGGGCAAAATTCCTACTGACCCAAATGGAACCAAAATCTGGTCTCAAAAGTACTGTTCTCCCAACAGAGAAGTTACAACATAAAAGAACATGAAAATACAGAACTAAGGAGAGAGTTAGACAAGAGAGGCTAGTGTAGGGTATTACTGTAAATATCAGATTAGTAATTCTTATACTGGCCAATTAAAACTATATATATATATATATATATCTTTCCTTACCCCATTACCCATTTTTTCAGTTTCCTTCTTTGGAGATGCAAATGCTTCATTCTGATTTGGTGGAGCTGCAGAGGCTGATCTCTTCATGTTGTTTTCTGAAAGGGCAAGAGCTGCTTCACCTCTGGAATCTACATAATTTAACTGAACTTCTGGGGGGAGTCTGGGTCCTTCTGGTGTATCAATTTTTTCCTGATTCACATTGTTGTTGTTATGGTCTGTGTGCAACTCTGCAGCCTTAGGAGCCTCAGTTTCAAGTGGGTCATTCGAATCACAATCTGCTATCCATTCAAAGGATTTTGAAATCTGTGGGTGATGGTAAGGCACCCTTCTCTTGGAAATGAAGTTTGGTTCTCTTGTGATTCCTGAAAAAGACACATTAGGTTTAATAAAAAACAGTCTACTGAAGACATAATATCAATTACAAGAACAAGCTGAAGTCTATCATACTACTATTAGAAAAAAATATTTTAGTATCTTGGAGCAATTACAGTCTATGAATTCTGAACATGACTGTCAAAGTCTGTCTTCTTTACCTATCTGCAAATGCCTTTCCTTTCCACTAAAGAGAGATGGGAACATGGTGCTCCAGGACCATTTGTATAAAAAACCAAACATAACCACGGGACAATCTTTTGCTACTCGATTCTGGGACCTGAACAACAAAAATAACACAGCCAGTGAAAATGATGTGGTTAATACAGATACAGGATAACCAACCTGCAGTGATAAAGAATGCCAAAAACACTTCTCATTACACATGCACAACACACCTTGCTAAACAGGTTCTCACAGATTGTGACAGGACAATGACACACCCCTATCCATCTAATGCAACTGTGATTTAAAACCATCTCAGATAGCTGGTGACTTTTTAACAGTACTGTAAAAAGACTATGTAACAAAACCAGATACCAAGCTCATTTAAAGAAGTGCTTGCCATTCCACATGCAGATAAAAATAAAATTTCGTCACCATTTTAAGAGGATTGAATGACTGAACACATCTAAAGTGAGAAGCATAATCTAACTGCAAAGGCCTCAACTGCGATGGAAAAATAAGTGAAGGCCCCTAACTGTCCAAAAGAAGCACTTCGCAGGAGAGAGAGAACTCCTATCTCATGAAAAAGCAACACAGAAAGAGAAAACAACCTACAGTGAAAGGTATGTAGAAGGTCTGGATATCTCACTACACATACAGGTGGCAGGAAATAATTTCAGTGGAAGAACATGGAAAAGTAGCAGAAAGGAACTCAGAGCATCTGCAGCTGTTAAACTCTTTGTAGTGATGTTTCACGTCATTCTTAAAATTGAAACTTTGTGTTTCAACATAAAGAACCATAAGTGAATTATCAATAAGAATCTGCAAGTCCTATGAGGTGTCAAGAGTGACAGTTGAAGATGTAGATGGTTAAACGGCCAAAAAAAGAGGTGGGAGTGACAACGAATGCAGAGATGTAGGAAATATGTAGGAAAACTAAACCAAGAACACACCAAAACATTGCTACAATAATGAAGAGATGGAGGAGAAAGTGCTGTACTGTTACCTTGTGACTTTATTGAAAGTCTTGTAAAATTTACAGTTTAGTTTGACTGGAAAAGAAGCACAGATAACAATTTTTAAAATAAATTAATGAATTTGAGTGTTTCAGAATGTTTGTGGAAGTTCAACTCTTCAATACAGGTACCCATACAGAGCCATATGCTAGGGAAAGCAAGGTTAAAGGAGTACATACTTTGCAGTAATGGGAGAAAGCAGTAATATATATAAAGCAAAATCTCTAGCAAGATTAAATTATTTATTAAAACATCTAGTATCTCAACTGAAAACAAACCATACTCCCAGTAGTTGGTTCTTAATTACTAGGCCATGATTTAGAACACTTATCATATTGCAGGAATTACTATACTGCACTCCAATTACAGACTGCACAGTATGACTGCACTGAACGGCACAATTTGGTTAATCTGTCTTGGGTCACTACAATAACTTGTATGTTTTTATTGCTCCTTTTCAAAGCACTGCAGCTGTGATCACTCTCCACCTGACTCCTATTCCTCAACTCCCTAAAGGCCTTCTAATCCAGGTGCTATTTCCTTTGTCTTCTGCTTCCCAACCCTACATTCTCCCGCCATGGTAACATCTAAAACCCCCAACTCCTAGACACAACATCACAAGCTTTTCCCTTTAATGCTCGTTGTGTTTTTTTCAGTTACCTGTCCCTGTAAGTCCTCATAACAATTTTACTTTGTATCAAACTTTGCCCCAAGACCGTCTCCTCTTAAATATGGCATTTTACTTACTGTTTCCATACGCCACAGGTAACCCAATGCCTACTTTGGCACACCCTGTGTGGGTTAACACTGCACCTGTGCTTCACATCTGGGACCCAGCTTAGCCTGCATGTCAGAAACCACGCATTTTTCAGGTTTTATATAAACAACACTAACAATAAAAGAAACTTTCAGTGTAGCCAGAAAGAATAAGGCATTCAAAAACGTACCCTAAATTACGACCGAGAACACAGCGTTAGCTGTACCAAGTGCACCGGGTACAAACTACCAGCGCGCTGTGCTCAGGCACTCGGGTCACTGCAAACCCCCCCAGCCCTCCTGCAGCCCGGGCTGCAGCTCTCGGGGGCTCTTACCGAGCTGATCCGACCGAAGTCCTGCCCACAGGGGCTTCTGCTCTTGGGACGGGCTACACAGCTCCGGGGCTTTCCATCTGAAGCTTCTCTTGTACTCGCTCAGGCCCTGCAGGAACAGAGAGGGCTGTGTCAAGCGCCCGGGGCACAACCCGCTGCTGGGGGGAAACGCGGCGGGATTCGCCCCCACCGGAGAGCGAAAGCGACCCGGCCGTTCTCTGAACAGCAAGGAACAGCACCCAAACGCTTCATACCCCACAGAGTACGCCAGAACTTTTTTACGTTTAAGCCCATAACACCTCAAGAACAGATGCCGCCTGAACCCTCCATCACCCACAGGACCGCGCTCCTCGGCG